TGCGGCCTGAACCTGCAGGAGCAGTGTCAAAAGGGAATTGAATGATCCCATAATGGAATATATACCATATACAAATGAATATACAAACTATAAGTGCATGCAATGCATGATCTTTTTTGGACTCCCAACCTCTGCACCGTAGAAGTCAGTCTCGCCCACCATTGCAGGGCAACAGAGGTCATGTACAACCCACAAAAACATATGCATGCTTATACTTTGACATTGGCAACCACAGCCAGTTGACATTGTTGCGAGATGCACAAATGGACTCTTAGAAAATGACATAAGATCAGTGGCTGGCTTTACACGCCAACTCTTGTCATGCCAATTCTTGCCAGCTTCACGGTCCTGATTGGTCCAGAAAAAGCTCTTGCAGACATCACCCTGCACCAGAAAAACGCCTGCAAAGAGCACCTTAAAAGTATAAAATGATCATTGCCAACACATCTAGGATCCTGTTGGCCACCTTCGTGCTCCCTGATTCAATCTACAAATTGTTCTTCAAAACCATTCACCTCATGACCATTCCTTTGGAATACTGTGTCATTCTGTCAGAAAAACAAGTTCAGCCCCTTGCAAGAAATCCAGACCCTGGAAAGGCAGAGGCGGTTTTTGCCAAAAGTACTGAAATAATGCATACCTCAGAAGACCTAGGTACACATAATAGGCCGAGATATATTGGGAAGTTAGATGGAACTTGTAATACTCTGAACTGGTTTACTGGGGAGACATCCGGTGAATGTTGAGTACACAGTCGTTTGTTCGCAAGGAGGCTTTCTAGGCTGTACATCAGCAAACAATGGCATGCCCTGTCCTGCCCACCCTCCAAGAAAAACCATTCCAACAGATTCAAAATGTCTTCCAAAGACTTGATAGATATTTGTGTGCTTTCCGTTCCAACATCTCTGGGATCCCAAGCAAAGGTGAACGGGCCAATCATGGCCTCCTCTTCCACCGTCTTTGCTTTGATCGCATTGGGCTTTGGGTACCTCACGGACGCCTCCACACCGCGGTCATCTCTAAAACAACCTGTTTTCGGAACACGAAGCACAGATGTTTGTGTGTGTTCCCAGTGTGTCAGGGTCCAAAGTTCAAGGCAACCACCCCAATTCATGAGCAAGCCCTCACTGATTGGCTTGACATGGAGACTGGCTGAATGTGTTCGCCAAGATATGCCAACGCGAGAGCTTCAAAGCAACACACTCGGTTTAGCCCCTGGGTTTACCCCGGTTTAGCCCGAGGCACAGGATCCAGATATATAGCATTGATGTCCCCCACATAGATAGAACAGTACATTCCCTCAACCAAAAATGTCTTTGACACCAAGACAACGATCCATTTGGTGTCTTGTATATGAACAAACCATCTCAACCCTCCTGTGGTAGCCAGTCGTTCCTGGCCGAAACGGGTGGACTATCATCCACCGGTCACCATCGACCATCTCCCCTTTCCTCGCCGGTCTCGATCTCGACGTCTCGAGCACCAGAATTCCACCGGCTCGGGCATCGTGACGGTGGGCTCCTGGCGTCAAGACGACAGGGAGCCCCACCTCTCATACGGTTGGTTTGGCCTGGAAAAGCCAATAGCGGCGGCCTCCACTAGCGATGGCCTCCAAACACAACATCGGATAGTTCTTGATATTGGTGTCTTAGGGTGCAGCAAGTGACGTGGAACAGGAGCTTTTAAGTGAAGGGTTTCCCCGAATTTCAGCTTCCTAAGTGATTGAGGATGCCGAAAGAACTGGACACCCCCCTAAGTCAGTACAGTAGTGGAGAGGAATTTGGGGGAAGAAGCTGAGTTAGCTGAGCTTTCAAACAAATAACTACATGCGTTGCATGTCATGTCTGTGACTATAACATAAATATATATATATATATACACGTAGATGTTGGTATCCAACGTTCCACACCCATCTGCGCCTGAAGTTGCGCTTGGATCTGCAGGACCATCCTGGGCGGCATCTAAACCCACGAGTCACCCCATCTTCGGATGGATGAAGAAGACACAAAAACCGAAATTCGACGAAGATCGAAGGAATTCCGAACTTCGAGATCCCCAAAGATCGCGGGAAAAAACATATCGATATTGGCCAAAAGTTAGTCACACAGATCTCACCGAAAGTCACACGCTCTTGGAAAAGAAGAGGAAGACAGCACACAATAGAGAATAGGATTTCCGCGGAAAAACAACAGCTGGTCATAACGGGTCACCGGCATGGAGTTTGTTTTCCCATGACAGTCCACCTTTCACTCCCTTTCCGTACCCGCTGACCTGAAGCGCAACACCCACATGCTTGACCTGTAAGCACTCCCGTTCTGAAGCAGAACACCAAGCAGTTCCGGAATACGAGAACACCGGTCCAAGACCACGTCTGAACCGGATCCCCGTCGTCCCCGTCCGGGCGTACCGGGTGGTCCTCGACGCTTGGCCGCGGCCCCCTGGGCTCCCGCGCTCGCATTCCGGGCCGAGGCCTTTGGGCGCTTTGGCCACTGGCAGCTGTTGCCGAGCCCTGGCGAGACCGGACGTGGTGGGGTGGGGGTGGGTGGGCAGAGTCGGTGCGGACCAAGGACTTCGTACGGAATGAATGAATGACCCTTCGATGTTTTTGTGCTTTTTCGCCGTGGGTTATCATAGGTTATTCTGTAGGATTCATGCCTGCATGCTAGTTCATCAGCATGGATGTAAATCCCTCATGCAACCTTTGCATGATTCGGCAGGTCAATGTCACCTTTGGGGTGGTAGCATGCTACCCACAGCTGTGGGGGGAGCGGGCTACCGGGATGCGGGCCACGTCCCGAAAGGGTATAGAATGGGAGGAAGCAAATCTCTGAGCATTCACCTCCATGCACTTGTTCCTAGTAGCTTCTTGTTACTACTAGTAAGGCACTTGTTACTAGTAGCGATGCACTTGTTCCTAGTAGCGATGTGCAAACAGTCTCCATGATGGGAAATTCAAACCAAAACCGTTCAATCAAGCTACTGGAACCGTTGATGGCCATGGCCACTTTGGACAAACATGATCATCTGCACCTCTACTTTTTGGTGAAACACCCGGGCAAAAAGACCTTATGGAAGACGACGACAACAACAACAACGACAACAACAACAACCACAACCCCTACAAATCCAATCACCTTCTCAGAAGGTACTTGGACCCTCCAAACCTACATCACAGTGTCTCCGTCCTCACCGTACCTGAGAAGGTACGACTGGATCCCTACAAAAACCACACCCACCAGTCACACGGGTCACCCCGACTCTCTTCCCCGACCACCTCGTGGCCGTCTGTTGCAGCTCGCCGGGCGGCATCTTGCCCAGTGCTGCATCCAAGCGTTCGAGCGCATCGCCTGCGGCGTGTCGGGCGACGTTCGTTCGCTTCGGGTCCGAGCACCCGGCGGCTGAAGGTCGGGGCGGAGCAGGTCAGATGCATCAGATTTCGCCAATCTGGCCAGAACACTCAACCGATTCTTCCAATCAACCGATCATTTGTTTTCGGGTTCTTTCAGACAGGTTTGTGAAGCAAGCATGGTTTCAACTATATAGTTTTTATTTCGACAGTGACGCAAAGGCCTGGATTGGGGGGGCTGTTCAAAACAAAAGCGTCTGTCGCAAACCGACTACCCCCTGGATGAAGGCCTTTTGAAGTTGAGGGAGCCCTGATAAGAGTTGGTTCCAGGACAGGTTTCTGTCACAACCCAAAAAAATCTGAAAGCCACCATGTGATGAAAACACTTTAAAGGTAAAGCAAACACCGACTTCTGAGCCACTTCCCGAACTAACCCCACCCCTTCGTTGCGAATGGCCGGGGGAAACCTTCCATTTTTCACCAATCCACCCCAAAAGGCCGCTCCAATGCAGTCGAGTTCGGGTCGATCCGTTTGCTCGTGATCAACTCCTTGGGCCCCAAGCCGATGATCGTCCCCAACCTTGGATGGCGTTTTTGATGGTTTGGAGGCACACTGCCGGGGAAGAAGTGTCTTTGGTGGACAGAAATCCAGTTCTCTCCACACCTGGCGGCAGATCTTGGCATAGTAAACACTCGACTCAATCTTGACTGAGATACATCGACTTAATATTTATATATATATATATATATACATATTGACATCTGTGTGAATATATGCCGACGTTCCACCCCCCAAAACGACCAGAGTACCAGAGGTTTCTGTGCAATTCTTCTTTGCATCACTTCAATTGTTTGTAGAAGAAACATGACATCAAGTATACATATATACATATGTGAAAACACTGGCAGCCGGCCGACTCCGATCGGCCAACCACACATGGGCGCACCTTTTGCCGGCTCCGGCCGAAACGGAAGTCCCTGCGGTCGAACGACGTGGCACCTGAACGACAATGGTGGCATGCATTGAAGCTTTTGCACTGGTTCTATTTTCTTCTGTCTTTTAAAGATAGAAGTGGAAGAAGGTATGCATTTCAATCTACTACTTCTTGAAGGTGCGATGCACGTCAGTTCCTGGGATACAAGGTCCATCCCATGCAAGATCACGAGCGATGTCTCGCTCAGCCTGGAAACGGACGAGGAAGCATGCTAAATCGTGAAGTAGTCCGGTCGAGGACTTGGCTCGGGCTTTGACCCACTTCACATACGATACGGCCCGGTCATCGGTCGCCGATGCAAGGTCTTCGTAGGACCATCCGGTTGCCTTATACTGTCCAAACTGGATGAGGGACTTTCCCCACTGCTCAAGGGACGAAATGTCCTCAGGAATGTCCGGCAAGCCTTCGACATGGGTCGACTTGGGCATTGGCGGAGGCATGTGACTTCCACCTGCATACGAAGTCAACCCTGGCGGTGAGGTTGGTGATGTCACAAACTTCGGATAGGCAGAAAGGCCTGTTCCTCCTCGCTCTCGCTTGGAATTAGGGACACACGATGAATCATCTTCACGGCGCTTGGAAGCATCGGTCATTGCTGCCAATGGGTGCTCAAAAGGAATCAAACTGAAACCAGAATCCTGATCATCGCTGTCTCTGACCTTGGTTCCCGAATCTTCGAGGCTCAGGGACGGTGGAACACCTCCTGCGGACGCCTTGGTCAGCAGGCGTTGGAGCTCGGCATGCTCTTCTGGGCTAAGTGACATGCTGTCCAATGAGCAGTCACACACAAAATGAAACACACACAGTCGATTTGATGACTTGATCCACAAACTCTAAAAGGGCACAAACCGGCAACTGTTGAACAGATTCACGAAAGCTCTTCTCAACTGTTTCTAAAGTCATCACAACTTGCACTGAGAATTTATCTTTCACAAAACATATTATTGATTTACAAAGCGCAAAAACATGCAGGTGCAACCTGTTGGAAGGCAAGCAAACTCAATGACCCGAACAGTCTCCCTTGACTTATTCATTACATTCGAGAAAATGGCTTATCTTTCACAAGTTAATTTCCGGAGCTGCTATTCTTTACATTCTTGCGGCGCTCTCTTTCTTCAGCTTGTTGTTGAAGTACGGTGTCTTCAGGGGCAATCTGGTATGTCCCTTGGCGCACACAAGACCTGAGAAGGTCAGCAGGCTCTTGTCGATCCTTCGTGAGGCCATCGGCCAACATCCAACCAGTTGGAAGCCATCTTATTGCTCCTCCTGTTAGTTTCAAAGATTCTCGCAAAATCACAATGTCTATACTCGTTCTACGGTCGTCAATGGCTGTGGGTGATGATGGAGAAATCAAATGATCATACAGGCTCTTGCAGTCTGTGGCTAGGATAGGGGACCGTTTGAGGATCAACATGGGAGGTCTCTTCTGAAGCAGTTCTCGAGCATTCCTGGCCTGGAACGGACCGTCAAGGGTCTCCGACAGCAAAAGCGAGAGCCATTCAGCTGTGCCACTTGCGGTGGCCATGGCCTGACTTTCACCTCCTAGAGTAGAGCTCACTGCTCGTGGCAGACGATAGCTCTTCCAGGTCACCGGGGTCCACGGAGACACCTTACCCTGATGCAAATCCTTATGAACAAAGGCTAGTATGTAACCTGCTTGAGTGTGACATCCTATATTTGCAAATGCTGCGTCCGAGTGACAACAGATAGTCAGGGCTTTTGGTTCGATGGATCGGAAACGGATACTCAGGTCCTTGAATTGTTTTGCCCTTCTGATCGCATTGTTTGCGTTTCTCAAGTGCTGGATAGTCGGATTTGGGAATCCTTGCTGACAGAAACTAGTCTGACATGCTAGATCTGGCCTACTCTGTGAGGCTATCCAGTTCAGGCTACCGTTGATGGCTCTGAGAACTCGAGTCTGTTGCTCGTTCAACTGCTGTGTCGGTGGAACTCCCTTAGGAATGGTGGCGGGCCTCATGCCTTCGGCGAAGCTCTGCTGGGACATGACTATGTCGAAGCTTCTTGGGTCTTGTTCGTACATGGCTCCACAAAACTCACCGCTAGACACGCGCCACTTTCTGTAGGGGAATCTCTTTTTCAGCTGAAGGACCGATTGTTCAAACCTTGTGCCACTACCTCCTACTGCAGTATCATCAACATGAACTCCGAGAATACCTTGGAGATCACCGGTGTGTGGACAACGAAGAGTATAGAGGCACGGATCCAGAATCGATCTCGACCAACCTGCGTTGAGTGCCTCTCTATCGAACGTTGTGTGCCATGCCCTCGGGGCGTCATTCTGTCCGTAGAGGTTACCGACGATCTCTATCACAATGTCCTGTTGAGACAAACCGGGGATTCCACCTGGTGGCAATTCGGCATACAAGGGTCGAAACTTCTCTGGAAGCTCTCCTGCTTCTAGGAACGCACCCTTGATATCGCCGAGCTGTAGCGTCCACTTGTAGGAAGCAATGGTTTGCATTAGGACCATTCTACCGAGCTGGCTGAGCGTCGGCGATTGCAAGAGGCCTGAGGCAGCCTTTTCAGCTAGGTCGGGATCGAGGTGACCCTGCAAGACCCATCGGCTCTTCACTTTGAACGTGCTGGGATCATTGACATCCACATTTACGCCATCTTGGACTGCTTTACGAATGATAACAAAGCGAGATCCTATGAATCGATGGGCGTGTTCAGCACGGATCAGTCTAGCCTTCTTACCGAAATGCAATCTAATGGCCCCTTTATCCTTGATCGTACTCCATTCTTCGGACTTGGATTCGTCGATGAGCTTCTGAAGTTCCGGTGGATTCTTCGTGGGGGACAGTTCTTTACTCAACCTTTTCTGGATGTGGGCAGCAATGAGGACCTCGACACTATCCTGAAGACACTCATGAACCTCTTCGACCGTCAACACTTCATCATGACGAGCTCGATTGGTCGCCGGTTCATCGGCAGCAGTCGAATCTGGTGACAGTGCTCTCTTCTGTCCATGCTCCATGCTGATGTCTGTCGTGCTGGGTTGTGATTCTGGTTTACCTGAAATGGCATCCTCTAACAGTTGTGGAAGTGCTTCTTTGATTATTTCAACAAAGTCATCTTGACGGAGCACGGGCGGTCTGTACAACGCAGGAGCGCCGGACTTGGAATCAACTCTCCTCCGAATTGGTCCATAGCTACTGCTTGACTGTTTCTCTTGATCAACATGGGAATCGACTTCGTCTCCGTCCCGGGAGGACGATGATGTAGATGTGCTTTCTGGGAATGAGGACGGCTGGGACACCAGCGGCGGAGGAGAGTCCAACGGTGCTGCAGACTGCGCGGGCATGGATTCTGCCTTCAGGGCACGAATCTGCTCTGACGTTTGGACTTCAGGCATGTTTCCTGTATCCGGCTCTGGTGTCTCAGTATCTTCTTGAGTGGGGTAATGACCCGGAACTAAGTCAATGAACTGATGACTTCGGAAAGTGCCACCTTCTAGCAAGTCCTTAATTCCAAGAAGTTCGGCTTGAGGTGATGTCACCAGAGTCCGCTCTTCAGTGGTCGCTGGCCGTAGCTGTTCGGGTGCACATCGGAAGATTTGTCTTCGGTGAGCAATGACATAGTTCTTACCTATTTGACCAATGATGACTGCAGTACCGTACCACCGACCACCATTTTGAACCATCCCTTGTCCAATGAACTTTTGATTACGCCAGTAGCATACAAGATCACCTGGTGCAAAGGTTATCGTGGCTCGTGGTCGAGCGGCTAGTGCATGTCTGAGAGCTTTGTCGTCTTGCAGTGCAATCACAGCATGTCTGGCACTTGCTCGAATGGACTGAGCTTTGGCGACAGCATCATCGCTGAGACCGGCTGTCCCTGGTACCACATGTAATGGTTCGCTCAACAGGTCGCCAGGCATGGTTGGATTCTTACCAAAAATCCACTTTCGCGAGACTTGGTGGTTTCACCAAGCTTGGGGTTTGAGTTTGCTATTGCTAGTCCTGTATGTGAGAGATCATGGCAACTTCCCATGGTTGTGATTGTGAGAGTGTGCGACCCTCACACATCTCCATGGCTGTGATTGTGAGCGCCTGTGATCATGGCACGCGCACATCCATGGCTGTGATTGTGACCAGACTGCCCGCGTTGCCGGGTTTGCTCCAAGTGGTGAATTTGTGCGCTTTGGTGCCGGCAGCAGTTTCTTTAGTTCCCCAAAGGTTAAGTCCAATAGCCAATAACCTTTGAACGGTAGAATTGTTTTCTGCCCTTACGGCTGATGACCTTACGGCTGATGACCTGCCACTGCACATCGAACAGCCCAGACCTTTGCTTCCCATAGCCGACAGCTTTCTTGAAGGCAGTGATAATGTGGGCCTATTAATAAATTGTTTCCTTAGCAAATTGATCAGGCACCAATTGTTCTTGAGCCAGGAAAATTTAATATGCTTACTAAGAAAAGGGCTAAACCCAAATATGTCTTTTGGTGGTGAATGCAAAAGGGGCTACACCCAGTACATTCTCACCAGGTTTCCCGTGCGCTTGCCTAATAACCAAATGGTGACACGACTTGAAGAACCGGGTTTTTCAATGTGGAACAAGTTCCCATGTATGTATGTATGTATGTATGTGTCTGTATGTATGTATGTATGTATGTGTGTATGTATGTATGTATGTATATATACTATGTATGTCTGGTGTGATAAAGGATGCAACCAAAAGATTCCCACTGGTATCTGCGATGCATGTTCTTTCTCTGCGCAGCCACAAGTCTGTGAAGTTTAAAAGTGCCAAAAACATGGGATTGAAGGCAATCCTGCTTTGAGCTGAAAGCATGCCGTGAGGCACACTGAGACGTGCCTTTTACATTCAATCCACCTCCAACGGCTCAGTAGCCTTGAGGGTATCTGGATTGAAACCATGCTTTGATGCAAGGTTGTAAGATGGGTAAACCTCACCACTCGAAACATGGCGAATCTTTCGCCATTTCTTCCCTTTCAAATCACCGCTCTGTCTTGTGAACTCGTACACCTCCACATGTTTTGAAAACGCAAACAGGGAACTTCCCAACATCAATGACAACTTCCCAACAATACAATGTCAAAACAAACAATGGAAAAAGGTTCATGATGAAGTAAAGCCAAATCGTTTCTACGCAACCCCTGCCTCCCACTCTCCAGAAGCATCTTTCAACATCCGGTCCGCGTTCGGGAACGCTGACTCCGATCCCTCCTTTGGAGGCTTAGGGTCAGACCTAACTCTTGTCTTCTTGGAACCATCAGGCTCAGGAACCGGGAGAGAGCTTGAACTTGCAGGTCTCTTCATCTTTCGCTCCCCTTTTCTTGGCTCAACCAACTTTTCTTGCTCTTTGGATTCCATCTTTGAACCACCATTCTTTTTGGACTCCACGGATCCTTCAGGCTTGGCAGGCTCAGAGCTGTTCGCTGCTGCCGGCCTTTCCATCACAGGAGTATGTCTGGCTGCTGGTTTTTTCAAAGTCTGTTCATCTTCCTCCACATCTGTCTCTTCGAAGACAGATCCCGCGTCAGCAGGCGCCACTTCGACTGACTCTTTCGCTGACTGGTCACCTTGCAGTGGCGACAAAGAGCTACGGACTTTTTCGGGAGGAGTATGCAAAGATTCTGATGAGCCCGCAGCAGCCAAGTTGGCAGCACCACCGCGAGGACCTGCTGCTACTTCAGACTCATTAGACACAGGCTGAGTCAAAGACCGGCGCAGCTGGCATGCCTGGTACGTGCTTTGGATATCTGAAGGGGCTGCTGCAAGCCCTCCAGTCATTCGAAACAAAGCCGCGTTGCGCACTCCAGACACATCGACACTGAGTCGGTCCATTGCCAAATAGCCCAGCGTCCGGCTAGTCACTAGCTGTTGGCTTCTATGCCTCTATGCTCACAAACAAGGAGCTCCCAGAGCAAAACGTCACTGCCAGCAATCAGTTGAATCTCGCGACTCACAGTCCACTACAAACACAGTGAAAGTTGTTTGTCCTATGTCATTATGTTGGCATGTATAAGCATCTGCTAAATAATTCTATTGTATAAATACTTCTGGATAATACCTATGAACTCGGACACTGACATCCACACATTTCTCTGTCATTGGAACCGCTGACATCCTTAATTACCTTCTCGTTTCGTCTCGCAAAAAATGTTTCGTAGTGTCCCCAGCGCTTTTATGTTGGAGGTGGCCTAGTAACTTAGTAGGTGTGCTTGCGAGTTGTTTCCCAGCGTGCCCATCATGCTTGCTGTGGAGGGTTGCTGTGCGGCGTGTTGATCGCATGTGTTCAGAAAAGTTCATGGACGCTTAACTACATAGGGCGACACCAGTGCGGGGCGCAGGTAGTGCGAGGTGTGCGCTGAGTTTTGAATGTCTCAGATGCTCGCTCACTCCTCCTCCGAAAGGTGGGTAGTACTGAGATTGGTGTTATTATTGTAGTTCAAAGCTGAACACAGTCCAATTCTTTTGTTGCCTAAAGCTCAGTGTCAGTCAGTCCAGTTCAGTGCAAAAAAGCTACGCCTCCCTGAAGGCAGAAAAACAGCATTACACATGGTTGACGAGCATTACACATGGTTGACGTTTGTTGAGAAACACATTGTCTAACATCAACTTCAACACGACCACCAACAGCCCTCAGGCTAGGCCACAAGCGTGACAATCAACCGCACTGCACGACCTGCCCTGCTTCAAAATCCACGGCACATCGCAAAATTACGTAAGGCTTCTGTACTTTGACAGTGCCGTGAACTCTCTCAAACCTGAACCGAAAAACCGACCGCAAAGTCGATGAGTTCTTGACTTGGTCGAGGCAGCCGGCAAAGAAGCTCTTACACGACAACTTTGCTTTCGGGTCCACAATGCACTTGTAATAGTGCGCCTCAGAAATGGTCAGCTGGAATCCATCGTTGCCTGTAGCCGCATCGGTCCTTTTGCACTCCGAATACGTCACTTTGTATTGGGAGATTTTCTTGGTTTTCTCCAGCAAAACCAGAAGGCGGTAGATGGTGAGCGTTTCAATCTGAGTGCTTTCTGGCGTAATCGATGCGTGGTCGATTTGCACAAGCGTCCTGTCATTCTCTGGCCATCCAAACTCTACTCCAGGACCCCCTTCCGAGCAAGGATGGTACCTCGCAAATGGGTGGCATGCATGGCATAGCCTGTCAAAACTTGGTATCACCCCAAAAGATTGTGTAAAATTGCACATGGCCGTATGCGTGATGCATGCGACGGCCAAAGCAAAGGTGTAATGCAGGTAATGCATCACAACCCTGGCCCCCGATGAAAAAGCATCAACAACACAAAAAAAAATCTTAGTCTTAGATATATGCGCGCCAAAATGCTTCCCTGTCCCGTATCCGCCCAGCAAAGTCGACTTCGGAACCACACGCTTTTTGTCCGAACACAAGAAGATCTTGCCCGATCGGCACTTTATCAGCTCCACGCCGGACACCTCCGAAGCACATCGCACCTCAATCTCTTCCTTCTCCTTCAACTTGTCAATCGACTCAAAGGTCACTTTGGGCACGGCCGGGCCCGGATCTGATGTCTCAGGTTCCGCAGCGTCTGTCAGAGCTGCGGCTGCTTCCTGCGAAGTGCCAGACACTTGACTAGCGGACTGGCCTGGAGTAGAAATGATCGAAGACAAAACTTGGGAGTAGTTGTCCGTGTGATTCTTCTTGAGCTCTGCAAATGCTTCGGCAATTTCACTGCCAGAGTTTGACCATTGTTTGCACTGGTCCGGATGAATCACAATGGTTGTCCCCTGTCGTACACAAACCTCCAGCTTGAGCTTGTCAATGCTCTGGACACAATCAGCTCCGGGAATGGTCTTCAACTCCTGCGCGAAACAGAACGGCGGAAGCGATAAGTTCACATTGAAATCATTGAACCGTCAGGAACAAAGAACAAGAGCATGTCGTGAGTTTACTTACCAGCCCCACAGCCACCGTTGATCAAAGGCACGAAAGAGGTGTTTATTCTTTCTCGAACAAAGACATTGAGGATTTGTCGTTCCTTTCACTTGGATCCTCGTCAGTCAAGGTAATGTCACTGTCATCGAATTTGTGGCCCTGGAAAGCGAGCCGCTTCGCCAGCCAAGAATCAAGGATCTCCCGGGAAACTCTCATCTTCGCGTACTGAAACCCTGAGTCGTTGTCCAAAGTGTGCACCGACAAGTAGAAGGCCCTGCTGAAATCAAAGCCACCGCCTTCGCCCTGCATCACTCCGCGTAGGCGAAGATTCAATACCTCCACCGGAGGGGTGAGGGTAGTATGGTCTGGGACGACATCCGATGGTATGGTATGGTATTATTGCGTGTACATATTCCTCATGCATCTTTGAGTCTGGGCATTGCGCGCCTTGAGGCTAAAGAACTCGTGCAATCAACAACCAACCAGTCAAGAATTAAGTTTGGTGTGGCCCAGTCTCGGTATTATGTTTGTTTGTTGTCTACTAACCTCTAGTTTGCGCACATCGCTTCTTTGCTTCTCCCGACTTACACCAAGTTCTTTTTGTACTTATTGCTAATCACAGTTGATGCCAAACACAAAACACATAAGGCTTTTTGCGACATAGTCTCAAAACGACATCGGCACGCGAGCACCACTCGCGATGCATAAAAAGAGACGAAGAGAAACAGTGATAGAGAGAAAGGGGAAAAACAAAAAGGAGAGAGAGAGAGACTGCGAATGATCTACAGTGCACATTGGAAGGAAAGAAAAACAAAAGCACAGAAAACATTGGGCAAGAACGCGCTCGACGCTCAGGAACACCAGCGCTCTCAAAAAACAATGTCGAACAACCAGTCTTCACTATATGACTGGCCTCTCACCATCTAAGCTTGAATGCTGAAATATTATATATAACAAGTGTATATAGAGTTATAAGTATGAATCCAAATCCAGGCTGAGTAGCTGCGGCACCTACCTCCTCGACGTATCCTGTAAAGTTCACAATCAGGACGGCAGTTTGGCTTCCCGGCATGGGCACATGCCGAAAAAGCGATTCGAGCAATAGCTCGTGCCTCTGACAACCCTTTTGGGCGGCCGACTGCTCAGGGCTAGGCCGTGTTCGCTCAGCCAGCTTCAAGTCAGCGTTCGGCGAAGAGGCCTCTGGGAGCAAAAGCGACGAACTCTTTGGCAGGACAGCGCATGGAGCCCCTCGCTCGGTTTCATTCGCTGCTGTGGGGCGCCCACACACCGCAAGCTCGCTGGATAGCCATATGTTCTTCTCGGTGCTTTGGTGGTTCACAGCGATGCGGCCTGCTCCAAACCGCCGCATGGAAGACCTGTCGACCCTGCGGTCGCGGGTGTACAGGTCGATCCATCTTGACTCAACATTTTGGCGCAGTCCGAAGCAACTTTCCAGGATCATTTTCTCCTCGTCGTACAACCCACGGAGGCTGCTGTCTTTGGCCAAGTCAGGTAGAGTCATCAGCACACAATTGTTGTGCGCAACGCCGGTGTCATTGATCAGGCTGACAGCGTTCACCAAGGAACTTGCTGCAGCTTTCTGTCGGGCTGTTGGCACATTGAAATCTACGATCCCAACTGTGCAGATCTGGTCCAAGGGGCACTCCAGCTCACGTGCCTCGAAAACAGAGAACTACTACGCGTGCTTCTCAAAGACACGACGCATGAACCAAAAGTTTCTGTTGCGATCAACATACCTCCTTGCCAAGAGAGGTCAAAAGGACACAAATTGATGTCGACGTTAAGGTCTCAATTTTGTGCCCTCTTGACCTCTCTTGGTATCCTGGAACACTGCGAGTGTGCAGAGTTTTCGGATGTGTACGCAACAACACACATGCTGCCACCCACCATCCTTTCCAAAACTTGTGTTGTCCAATGTGTTGGAACTACCAATATGTTTTGTCTTGGCCCGCGTGTAACCAACTTACAGTGTATCATGGACCAGGGCACCATGTCCAACTTCATTTGGCTGATCTCGGCGCGCGCCAGGTCCATCTTGTCGGCCGAGACAACGCGAAGGTAAGTGTCCTTCAGTGTCCCCGCAGTCAACATCATACGGAGACTGGTACCCTACATGGATTTAATAACTCTGTATGTCGTTGGAGAAAACTATTTCATGTTTTTGGAGCGCTCACACTGTAACCATCACGCGCACATGCACATAACCCAGGGTCCTGATAGCCCTGGCAAGCTTTCTCAGCAGCTTTCACCATGGAGTTGCGATGCTTCACCTGCTTGGCGTGCAGCCGCTGTCGAATGGCAGCGGGAGCTCCACTGACTCGGGAAATCGCATCATGGTCCTTTGCCAAAGCCGTCTTGAAGTAGGTCCATTGCGCCTCCTGAACTTCCTGGCGCTGCTGGGCGACGGCCTCCATCTTTTCTTGCTCTGCGACTTCCATACTCTTTCTGGCTTGCTGCTGCTGGCTCAGCAGCATTGACAATGAAAAGTTTGGAGGGCGTAGATTCACCAGATGCTGCAAGTCCTCGTCTCGCGAGAGGCCACAGGTCACCTCCTCAATCCACTCTCGCACATCGGATTCATCCAAGCGAGCTCGCAAATGACCCACAATCTGCTGGAAAAAGGCGATGAGGTTCCGGACCCTGAATAGCTCATCCGGAGACATGCGGTATCGTTTCTTTTGGGCCATGGGAACAAGACCTGTCACACGATTGAACGTTGTCCGCACCCTTCTGAAGAGAAAGAATTGCCCTTCCTCTGAAAGCTGGAGGTCCCAGTCCAATGAACAGAAAGGCTCATGAGGTAGCGGCTGGGGAGCATCGGAAGCAGCATCTTGCGCATTGATCGGGTCCAGCTTTGCAGTCGAACCCACATAAATGAAAGGCAGCTGGCAGAACTGGTCCCCGAACGGCCCATACGAGAATGCAAAGTCGTGGACACTCTGCTGCATCTCAGAAAGGGCGGCCGCCCCAGTGGCATCCAGCAGGTTCTTCACTGCCTTGCAAACACTAGTCTGCCAAAACCGAATGTTTAGAATTGACAACATCTAAATTTGATTGGCAAAATTAAAATGCCAATTCAGTTATCTTTGTCCGACCGGAAACCCTTGTCCTGAAGCTAATCAATGAGCGCAACAGGTAACATTGACCCAAGGCTGGTATTCAATATCAATCTTCTCCCATAATTACTGAAAGTCGAGTCTTTGAACAAACGAACACTCCTGAAACTATACCACCGACCAGCCTGCATCTTCTTCTTGTCGATTCCAATGGATCCCACACCACCAGACTGCTCCATGGCAACCACCTCTGGGTGATCGTTGTACTTGGCGATCAGACCATCTGCGCCAACATCGCTCCCGAGAGATCTCAAGATAGAGACCCATGCCAGTGCGGACACCGGCTGCACCTTCGAGTCCAAATTCTGTTTCACTATTTGGGACACTGCACTGTCCACATCAGAAGACACTCCCACAGATCCTTTCACGAGGGTTGGAATGCGAAGCATTGAAGCTAAAAGACCTTGAACGCTTGGGTGCGTCAACTGGTCGGCATTCCCAGGCAAAGTTGCAGCAAGGTGCAGTGCGATGAACACTGCAAAGCAGGCAAGGGTTTTCTGACTTCCGTCACTGAAGTGCAAACTTCCAAAAGCCAAGTTGTCACGGTAGAAGGCTTCACCAGGCAGCCGCAGAATCACAAGCTCACCCTGACAGGGCCGGGCGCGCAGCAATTAAAGGAGACAAATTAAATGAAGAGTTCATTCACCTAGTGAGGACCCCCAGCTTGTCGCAGGAACCTGTTCAAGGTGAAGTCGGTTCCACACAACCTAAAAACCACCAGCGCAATGACAAATAGTGTCACACTTGGCGCTGTCCGGTAAGCGGGAAATTAAATAATAATGTCAAGAAGAATTGTCCGGTAAGCTGTCCTCCCAATGCCAAGGCAAACAAACCTGAACACCTAGTGGAAGAAAAACTACCACACACACAACCACATCAAACAACCAGCTTGGATGACATGGAACCAAACAGCGTTCCATTGGGATCCCACCAACTTGCCATCTCTCCCTAACCCAGCATTTATGGAGAGGACCTCCCAAAGGTCCTCTCCATAAACCAACTTGTTAACCTATAGCAAAAATGGTTGTAAAGTGAATTGCCGCAAGCAAATTTTTATGAAACCGAAACGTTTAGGGTTTAGGGTTTGATGTTTGGATTTCAAGATGAATGAAATCCAAACATT